GTGTCCATTTTATGCTACCAATAAAACCTGCTTCCTCAAGAGCAAGTAAACTTATGGTGGAGCAATGTTGTATGTGATATTTTCAGACAGAAAATATTATCTGGATAGCCTTTAATTGTTTTGAAATTTTATTTGCTAAAACAGTTGTTTATAGTAAAATAGAATGTTGTTGAATATTTAAAATCTTGAAGTGGTATCTTGTTATGAATTGTGTACGAAAATCAAATACTGAAAAGAAGTTACGTAATAATCGGCTAGTGAAAAGTGGTAAAGTGAAGATAATAGTCCGCTTGATATCTATGAAAAACAGAATAATAAAAATTTATTATAATGGCTAACTAGTAGTTGTGAAAATAATTGGAAAAGATTAGAAAGAGTAATTAAAAAGGCGATAGTCAGTGAGTCAATCACAAAGTGGAACTTCTTACATTAGTTCGAGTTGCCTTAGCACATTAGCACAGAGATGCAGTTGTCGATTCAAATCCCATAGTAGTAGAATTAGTAAGAGTATAAGCAGTAATGTGAAAGGTTAGGGTTTGAAGATGTTATTGAAAGAGTATAATACAGTGAGATAAATTTGAATAGAGAAAAAAGATAGAGAATGAAGAAGAATTCATGAAGAATACAGAAGATTTGAATTTGGTAGAACACTAAGAGTGGATGCATCTTCGCCATTGAAAACGATTTTGAGTCATTCCATTCAAGGTCTCTAATCATCGATTGCTATCATCTCGCGAATCCCGACCAGGTAGTTTATACCTACCAGCATGGCCCAGTTCACTTGTCAGTGACTTCATGGATTTGTGCCACGTTTTGGTCTGGCCGCCCCTAGCTTTCTTCCAACCTACTCCTACACCATGAAACATTGCACGTCGGGGCAGTCGGTGGTTGGGCATACGTAACACATGTCCCAGCCATCTCAACTGATGAAGTTTCACTACTTCATCAATCGATTCACCATCTCTACCTAGTACCCGTATCCTAACAACTGCATTACTTACTCGGTGGAGACAGATTACTGAAGATGGAAAGAAAGGTTAAGAGCATGGAACAATGAGGGACTGAACATGTTATTTTTGTGCGCAAATGTAAAGCTTAAACTGATGGATAGCAATAACCTCTGGTGTACATAATTTTTGATTCGCATTCATCTTGAGGCGACTTTTCTGACTGCATGTATAATTTTGATGTAGGCTTCTGATGAAGTGAACCGACCAGAATTGAGTAGATTCTACAACACTAAGCTTTGAACTGGCTCCTGTAATCCTTTGGAAAGCTTCCGTGTTTAGTCAGTTCAATGTGCATTTATCAGCTCACTTACCCATGTGTACCAGATTATACCGGCCACAAAAAGCGAGATTTTTCGGAAGACACCTCCGAACATTACCGCGCTTATCTTACCATAAATACGATTGTACAGCTTAGGTAAATGAAATCGTCAAAAGTAGAATTTTATTCGCTGAGTTCTCTTTTTTTTCAAAGACACAGTGGTTCACTTTCGTTACTTTGGAGTTAGTTTAATTTGTAAAAATTTCTTAATGACTGCAATGGTAATGTGTCTGCCACAAAACGAAAGGGTTGGTAAAGTTAATCCTGTTTATTGCCGTGATCCTGAGTTCTCGAGTTATTTCAAATTAGCGGGAAACAATTTAGCCATTTTCTATTCTTTTACCAATTATTCCCTTGCTACTTGACCAATCCATTACAGTCCATATATCGAATCTTCGATTTTTTTTCAGAAATTTCCTTATAGCATTAGTCATAGTAACAAACGTTGTTATAGTTCCAGCGTTATAAATTTATCAGTGGTAATCAGATTGACCAGAAAGAGTAGACTACATCTAGTTTAATCAGCTTATTCTCATCTAACTGTCCTTAGATCCGATGTCTCGATTCTTGTTTCACGATCATATTACTCATTAGTAATCTGTGTTCATACTCTCTCGCCTTATGCCTCATTGGTTAAATTAATAATTGATAAACTGTCTGTGCCCTTATTGGTTGAAATTCATTTTATTTATATATGCATTTATACAAATATATATGGGGAACCAAAACAGTGTTCTGACTCAGACGGCTCTAGGGTGCTTCATCCAAGTAAATTCAACGGTTTTTGTAGCGAATCTGACGACTTATGTGCATGTATTAATCGAATAAAAACGATTAATTGAGTATATTGTATTAACCTCACTTCCAACCAGTAGACAGTGTATGTGGTGAACTTTTAGGTCATTATGAAAATGGTTGAGGATAGACATTTGAAAGCTTGCAAACTCCTGCCACGTGTTATAACATCAGATATTAACCATCCACTCCATTCACATCTTTTCCCTTGTATATCTTCTACTAGAACGATATGCCGAGTACATGTAGGCAAACAAAGATATAAATGCTCTACAACAGCTTATCTAACAAATATTTTATGCGATGAACAGGTTAGAAGTGCTGGACTAGTCAATAAATTGCATTCTTAAACATGTTTCTAACTAAAAGGTATACAGATTCTTGTCCTATTAAGAAACACTTCATTTAATTTCAAGTAAGAAGATTAGGAAAAACTTTTTACAACATTATGTTTTGAGAATTCTATATTATACCGAACATATAATATCGAATCAAGTCATTAATAATAATATTAATACTAATAATACAGTAATCCCACCCATATCTTTCTTTTAATGTGTCGGTCAGGTATATATATATATATGATAAGTCTTGCTGATTGAACGCTATATTCGGATCCTAAGCTGGTCTCGTAACCCCCAAGCTAGAACTACACAGCAAATTGAACAGGAGAGAAGAGGCAAAAAAATATGCGGGAAGCATTTTACTCCAAAGGTTCATTCATGTACAGAAAATATAGGGTTTTTATAGTATTTAAAAAGTTCTTGGGTTTTCATGAAAACTCTAGAATCCTACAAAACGTAGTAGCAATGTAATAATCAACCAATCAGAACCTCTACACGTGACTTTTCATTTTCGTGATACTTCTAGCAAGGCGTCTAATCAAACGCTGATTGGATAAAATACTTCTTAATGTTTCCTGAGCTTATCATGTCTAATGCGAGAAATTTTCAGGATCGCTTCAATAATACATATATACTATCTGCCCTATCTTTTATTTATCAAACTCCAAATCTATGAATCTTACTTACTTACGAATGTTACTCCCAATGGAGCATAGGCCGCCGACCAGCTTTCTCCAACCCACTCTGTCCTGGGCTTCCTTTTCTAGTTCTATCCAGTTCTTGTTCATTATTCTCATGTCTGTCTCTATTTCTCGGCGTAATGTGTTCTTTGGTCTTCCTCTTTTCCGTTGACCTTCAGGATTCCATGTGAGGGCTTGTCTTGTGACGCAATTAGCTGATTTCCTCAAGGTGTGCCCTATCCACTTCCAGCGCTTTCTCCTGATTTCTTCCTCCGCTGGAATCTGGTTTGTTGTCTCCCACAGTAACTTAAAGCTGATAGTGTCTGGCCATCGGATCCGAAGTATTTTGCGTAGACAGCTGTTGATGAACATTTGTGTATTCTGGATAATGGCTTTCGTAGTTCTCCACGTATCCGCTTCATACAGTAGAACTGTCTTGACATTTGTATTGAAAATTCTAACCTTAGTGTTGGTCGACAATTGTTGTGAGTTCCAGATGTTTTTCAGTTGTAGGTATGCTGCTCTTGCTTTGCCGATCCGTTCCCTCACATCTGCATCTGATCCACCGTGTTCATCAATGATGCTGCCCAGATATGTAAAGGTTTCCACATCCTCCAAAGCTTCTCCGTCAAGTGTAATCTGATTGGTGCATATTGTATTGTATCGGAGAGTCTTGCTTTTCTCTTTGTTTATATTGAGACCTACTGCTGCTGAGGCTGCTGCTACACTGGTCGTTTTCTCCTGCATTTGTTGTTGCGTTTGTGATAGAAGAGCCAGATCATCCGCGAAAATCTATGAATCAGATTATCGATATAATAAAATGAGAAGAATGAAAGAAATGAAGACTTGAAAGTCTTTATTTCTTTTCTTTTCTTTTGCTATAACACAATCTTCAAAAGACAAAACTAAAATTATCAACAAATAAATGACGTCAATTGTCTGATAAAATAGAAATATAGATAGATATATATATATATACACTTTTTATCATAAATATTTTATGATAAGAGAAGTAGATCCACATTATGAATACATTCAATTGACTTCCCTCTATCTAAATACAAAAGGAATAATATTTATGGTAGAATAATATGAGTTCATTTATTTTAATGAATTCTTTTTAGATGATTACAATCTACAAAAAAATGGTAATAATCGTCAAGGAAACAACACAGATACATATACTCTATGTCATAAAGGTGTTGCATAAAGTTGAATTTGATATCAAGTTTAATAAAAAGTTAATGATTACTGAAGAACCATTCAAACAATAATTTATTTGTAAGTTAAACATGTATTATATTCTAGAAGAAAAAAATCGAGAATATCGAAATAGAATTTTTTAGAAATGAAAGATACAACTAATTTATTAGGGTATCCATTACTTTTGTAGTTGTAAAATACCTAAATGATGTCCAGTTCTCTTAAAAACCAATGTAAAACTTCTCTTTTAAGGGATATATTTAATATTGTGGACAAGATATGATAACATTACTATTTCACCCCTAGAATTTCTATACTCTTGACAGTTTTTTCTTCTAGAACATTTACATGCTTCAATGGTTTTTCAGCAATCATTGATTTTTTATTAAACTTAATATCAAATCCAACTTTATGCAACACCTTTATGATATACAGTATGTGTATCTGTGTTGTCACCTTGACGATTATTACCATTGTTTGTAGATTGTAATCATCTGAAAAGAATTCACTAAAATAAATGAACTCATATTATTCTACCATAAATATTGTTGCTTCTATATTCAAATTTATTATTGGGAAAAATTGTATGAAGTAGTTACCTTGAATTAGTTTGTAGGCAACTTTAATCATAAACTGTATAATGTTAGAATTGTCATTATATTCAAATAAATAGAAAGAAAATTACTGATGGAAATAGAACCAGTAATGGAATTACAATAAATATTATTGTTTCTCTATGAATATATAGTGATTACACAGGTCTTTTGATATCACAGGGTTTCAATTAATTGTATACGAAAAATAGATTTTTGTTCATTTTTATCTACTAATACATTGGATGTTGATTTCGGTGATGTTATAAACCAGTTTTTATCATTTGAAATAAAATGATTTCCATCAGTATCACTTGTTGATATATCAATTAGTAATGCATCATTATCTGGTATGGATACAGTTGAGTTTTTTCCAATAGTAGTAGTAGTAGAAGAAGAAGAATTATTTGGTGTTACTGGTGATTGAACTGTTAGGTTATTAGTTATAATTTGTATCATTCTATTATCATTGATGTTGGGGTTGTTGTCTGTAGTAGTAGTATTATTATTATTGTTTCTACAAAGTTTTTCCTTTTCATTATCAACAGGATAAATAGAAGTACAAGACTTTTGTTCAAATTCTTTAAGAAAAGGACTTTTTATTTCGGAATAAAAATGAGGATTGTCATCCTGTAATCGATTATTATTAATGCTAATATCCGATTGAGTATACTCTGGTATATGATGTCTGTAATGCATAAGACTAGATTCTGTTAAAGATATACTTATGGGTTTACTAAGATTATTATAATAATTTAATTCATCATTACGTAAATCCAATGACGTTAATTGTATTGAATCAGTGCTTTCTAGTACACTATTCTGATGAATCACATCATTTATATTATTATTAGAGTCGGTGTTATTGTAAAGTGCAGGTATATTACCGATGTTATTAGTAGCATTAGTGGTAGTTGTACTACATGTAGTTGTAGTAGTAGTATCATCTTTAAAAGAAACAGTTCTTTTATTTTCCATTGTTGGGTTAAAATGAATAGTTACTGAATTCTTTTGACTTTCTATATTATTACTATGATTAATATCCTTTGCAGTCTTAGTATTATTACTATGAGTGGCAGGTTTTAGGGTAGAATCTAGAATGTTATCTTTTTCAATTATTATCGTATTATCAGTTTCAATATTTTTCAATGTATTCTCCCAATCTTCTAATTGTTGTTTAGATATATTCATTTCATTATCCTCTTTAACTTCAGAAGGAATATTCAATTTAATATTCTTATCTTTCATTTTTCCTAACTTATCTGATGTTGTTGATGATGATGATGATGATGACGACGACGACGATTTATAACAAGTGGGCGCTGATGATGATAACGGTGAAGATGATATGATTTTATTATAATTACAAAGTTCTTGTTTTCGAATTGACGTTTTCTTTGAAGAATTAGAACGGCAATGATGATGAATATGTTGATTTTGAACATGTTCATGTGGTAAATGATGATGATGTTGATGATGTGAATGAGGATGATGATGATGATGTTGATGTTGATAGAAATGATGATGATGGTGATGGTGATGATGAGGATGTGGATAATGACAACAACGAAGTACTTTATTAGAGTTTAACAAATTATTTTCTTCGTCATCATCATGAATACCACCTACTTTTTTATGTCCAATTAATAATAATTCACCTTTTTGATTTAAAAACATTTTTCTTTCAGATTGTTTTGTTTTATAGGCACGTGATTTCAAAATAGAATATATCATAATAGATAGAAGTAATGCAATGATAATCCCTATTAAACTGCATAAAACTGCTGTCCAATGTAAAAATCGAGTAAATGTTACTTCACATTTCATTTCAGCAACATATTCATTATTTAATTTTGGAATATTAAATGATGATTGTTGTCGATGAGATCGACTTAGAAATGAGATATTTTTATAAGTTATCATTGGATTATTAGTTTTCAGTTTATATTGTAAATTATCGGACATATTATTCACGATATTTGCTTTGTTCTGATGATGAACAGATGATTTAAATGTTGGTGTTAATGTTGCTATTGTTCCATTACTCTGAACATACAATGATGGTGATGATAATATTGAAGAGCCAATATATCTTTTACGAGTAACACGAAAACATATTAAGTACTTTGTATCAGGATGAAGATTAGTTAAATCAAATTCTTTAATATGATAATCTTGTATTATTTCTTGACCAAGTAGATCAACATCCAAATCATTATAATATAGGATCTGATGGATAAACAAAAAGAAAGTTGAGGGAAACGAAGCTTCTTTCAAGTATTTAAAGCAAATTATTTCTATTTGTAAGGGTTTGAATCTCTTAATTATCTACATTAATATTGAGAATGAGAAAGTTTAGATTTCTAGAAATTCATCTCCGTGTTGTATATGCTAGTAGCTAGCTAAACTAAGCATTCTAGCATTATAGGTGATGTAAGTTCGCTATGAGAAACGAAACAGTACTTCCCAACGTTAAAGATTTTTGAGGAATTTGGCAACTTAGGATTTAATTGAACGCAAATTTTGAGTGCACCTATACGCCTTTGCGAGCGATTTTGAGCCATGTGACTCATTCTTCAACCATTGGTTACATTGATGACACCATGAGTTTAATTGAAAGTTTGTGGCGATTGCAGTACGGTTGGTTATTTCATTCTAATACTTTTACTAATCCCTTTTAATAAGATCATAAACCGATCAATGTTAGACCATCTTTGAAAACCTGAGACCGCAGAACGACCATTTCATCCTAGTATGGGACTCCTCAGAAGTGATTGTCTATAATCCTACAGGCGGGGCTCGAACCTAGGACCTTCAGTTTCGCGTGCGAACGCTTAGCCTCTAGACAACGGAGCCGGCATTCAACAATGTTAACGTCCAACTTCAATTAACCCATGGTGTTGTGCGATCCTTCAAGTATTGAATATATTATTTTATAAACAGGTGTTATTTCCATATAACAGCCGTGCAGGGTAGTGCTGCGATTTCGCTTACCAAGTGCGCGCTTTTTACAATCAATTTAACTTGCTTCACAATTGCAAGTAAACTGGTAGAGGAACAGTGAGGTGGCCCTAGGCAGCATTTTATCCCTAACACTTCTCTGAATGAGTTTTTTCCTGGGAAAAACAGTTCAGAGCTCTGTTGAATAAAACATCTTTCTCAGCGATCTGGATAATTTATTCGATGTTCCTGAAGGTACATATGGAAGATTGCCCTCTTCGTCCGATAATGGATATGAATAATTCTCCATACCATTTAATTACAGAATGGCTTGTGAAGATTGTGCAACCGGTACGATAAGAAACCTAATTCAAACTCACCCTTATTATAAGGTGTAGTATTAACATGCAATACGAACCAGTTCACTCACACGGTTAATAACTAACTAACTCGCCCGACATCTGATTGAAATAGCAAGTCTGAATAAGAAGAGAACTGTATGGAAAGTTCCTAATTTATAATATTTTGTTTTTATTGGTGAACTAAGTGACTAACATGACATAAGTGTGAGCGTTGACCTTTGGACTAATAACTAGGCTATATAGAAGTATATCCCTATACTCCTGCTGAGTTCAACCTCGAGGCCCTGCTTAGTTCAAACAAACTTCTAATGTGAGGATATCTATCTATTGTCAATGTCCCGCAACTGAAAAATTTAGCGTTTTCGAGAATTTTTCCGTTAATTTAGTTGATCAGTGCCCTATACAAGAGCATGATATTCGCTAGGGATTTCATTCTAATAACCTAAAGCTGTTTAAACGTCTTCAATGAACATGACATTTTAAGATGTGGAAAGCAAATTAGGTGGATGTTACAGATTTAAATAAAATCCCCAGTAAAACTGTGTTCTTATACACAGTATTCATTCGCTAAATGAACGGCGACTTGCTAGATATATGTATTGAACATTGAGAGGCAAATGCATTACAAACACATGGATACGTATCCTATCTTCGCGTTTGTCTGATGAGTTCGACATATTTACAATTGGTTGATCACTGGGTGATGATCAATGTCATGTATGTCAGGTCCTTCTTAGTGCAGATCGAATCCTATCGACCAAGTTGCAATGTGGCCACTAGTTTTGGTGACTCGGCATTGCGTGAACTATTTTGAGATAAGAAGGTGTTTGGAGGTAGCCAACAGGGAACCCTGAATCTAGGTTTCGTGCTAATTGGCACTCGTCAGCAAGGTAAACCTGTAATCTTGAAGGAGCTGATGTCCTGTATTTCAGGTTCTTTTTAGTGCGGATCGAAATATTGTCTTTTTAAACTATCCTCGAAAGTACTCAAACTTCTATGATTATAATTTTAGTCTGCATAAATTTTCCATTACTGTAATAACCTACTAGCAGATTAAGTAATGGTATAAACCCAAACAAAACCTGTAAACATTTAAACAATTATATCGTTCGCAGTCATGACAACGCATAAGTGACTTCCGTTTTTGTTAAAATAAATATATGAGTTTTTTTAAGGTGTTTATCTGTTATCTACTAAATTATATATCTAATGTTAAAACAATCAAATTCTTATTGAGATCATGAACCAATCAATGAAAACTCAACAATCTCCACAACCCTATAGTGAATTATTATTTTAGATTAAGTATGATATGCCTTTATTGTTAAATTAAATGCATAACATGAAGCAGTTAGTCATCTAAAAGTTTGAAATATAACTTAAAGAATACTATATTACTTACTTATTTACGCTTTCTACCCCTCGTCGAGGAGCATAGGCCACACACCAGCATTCTCCATCCAACCCTGTCCTAGGCAATCCTTTTCAGTTATTTCCAGTTAACGTTCATCCTTTTCATATCTGCTTCTGTTTACCGATGTAATGTGTTATTTGGCCTTCCTCTTTTCCGCTACCCTTCCGTTTTCCACGTTAGGGTTTGCCTCGTGATGCAGTTCGGTGATTTCCTCAATGTATGTCCTATCCATTTCCAACGTCTTTCTCTAATTTTCTCTCCAGATGGAAGCTGGTTTGTCCTATCCCATAAAACGCTGTTACTGATAGTTACAGTCTAGTGAATGTTGAGTATTTTTCGAATACAACTGTTGATAAATACTTGTAACTTCTTGACGATGGATGTAGTAGTTCTCCACGTTTCAGCTTCGTACAGTAAGACTGACTGTCTTGACGTTGGTATTGAAGATTCTGACTTTGATATTGGTTAACAGTCATTTTGAGTTCCATATCTTCTTCAATTGTCGAAATGCTACCGTTGCTTTGCCAATCCTCGCCTTTACATCTGCGTTCAATCCTCCTTGTTTATCAATGATTCTTCGCAGGTACGTGAATGTTTCCACATCTTCCAGAGTTTCACCATCAAGTGTGATTGAAAGAATACTATATTATCGGGACTGAATTATATCGCTTTTTTAAACTTCTTTTATTACGTGATATAAATAACCATTTGAAATTTTGAGGTAAGTTCATATGTTGTATGACTATTACTACTAATGTAAATTAACTGTATACCTTTTAGTAGTATTCTGAAACCTAATTATTATATTGTTATTATAACTGAAAAAAAGTGTTAATTTATTTCGTTAAATATCCATTGTTCGTTTTATGATAAATCCTGAACGTTAAGATAACTCTATTAATAGAGAATTTTAGAAAGTTTATATTGAAGAAGTAATCTATGAATCAAATTAATGAAGCATCGATTGATAAGTTTAAATGATATTCCAAGATAAAAAAGGCGACATACATATGTTCAATGTAACTTCAAGACTTACAATTCATTATCATTCACTGAGTTAAAAAAAAAGAGATTTGTCAATCGTAACATAAATAAAATGTAGTCAACCGCATGAACGTGTGATAGAATTCTCGGTTTAAAAAAAACACACAATATACATAAAATTATACAAAAAATACTTACTTTGGCTTGTTGAAGTAGATTTTGTGCAACTTCCATAGAACTCCAATCCCATGTTGCTTTTAATCGTCGATTATCTGAATATCCAGGAAAAACCTTGAAATAAGACAATAAACTATATCCATCATCTGCTTTTTCACTTAGATTTTTTGATTTGATTAGCATTTGTATGACTGAATAATATTTGTTGAGTTAGCCGTCTTGCTGATGATGATTACAAAAGATCACTGGAAATCCAATTATAATTCATGATATGGTTTCTGCTTCTTTTTTCATCCTACATTCGGTAATAACTCTGAGCAATCTAAAGTAGAAATAAGTGATTGGTGTTAGGAGTTTGTGGAGACTATTGAATTTACTAGTTTACATTATACACTAGTCTTCGTTAAACAACCACTGAATACGAGAAAGTACTGGATAGCTGTCTCTTTCTGATATGAAACTCCCTAGCAGAGTGATCAAGTGGTCAAAAGACTAGGCGCTCGCTGGGAAACTTGAATGTCTTGGGTTCAATCTTCAGTTACGAATCCCAACTACTGAAGAGTCCCATACTAGGAAAGGACACGCTTTCAGTGTTTCCTCGTTCTTGTAATGGTTATTTAACTAAGATCAGTTCACGATGTAAATTTTAAAAATAAATGAGCTGAATATTAAGAATTTTCCCTATTTATGAAAACAAACATTTCTCAATCTTCATACCACTATATATATATATATATATATATGTATATATATATATATATATATATATATATATATATGGAGAGAGAGAGAGAATTCAATTAATTGCGTGTCCCGAGACTCAACAGGACATACCTCCATCCCAGAGGGGATGTTCACTCCATGACCCAAACCCAACACCGTTCGCTGCAAACGTCATCGCGTTACACACTTAACTACTGATTCGAGATAGTCACTCGTTTTTGCGATGGATATCAATTTTAATTTAACTTTGATGCTAACCATATATTATCTATACTATATCAACTTGTGTTATATTGGCTATTTCGAGGTGATCCTCACAAGATGCATATATCCCAACCAAGACTGATTTAACTCCACTCAAAATGTCAATAGGATAATCCAAACCACTAAAATTAAACTAAACTAAGTGCTTATGTAATAGAATTTAATGTACTCAGTTTTAATTACTGGTTTATTTGTATTAAGATACACTTGTTCGACATGTAATTTAAAGTAACTCGTTAGTTAATCTCTGAAAGTACACAACTTTTAGGCAATGAAATCAAACTTCAAAATGAAGAAACGAATTATTGTCAAAACAATTTGAAACCTAATCACTCTGGGTAATAAACTAATATTACCAGGGTAGGTTTAAGGTAAGAACAAACTGTTTTCGAATACACAAAAGGGGTTTGAATTTCCTTATGGCTAAGGCTTCAATAAACCTTAGTATACACTCTTCTACACTTTCATACAACACAAAAGCCGAGTTATTGCCAACATTACTCATGAACAAAATTTTGAATATGCAATAATGTTTTCTTGTTTTAAAACAATTGGAAAGATATCGTTACCTTATTGTGACAACAAATAATAAAAATGCAAATTTCAATCTCGAAAGTTACAAAAGTAATTGCTCTAACGTATATGAAAATGACATACAAAGATTTCTTTGTAAATTTGAGTTTGTTATTTCGCTATCTAGTGATACACGTATTTTGAGTATACCATGCAAAGAAACGAATCTGTTTGACGACTGGCTTCCTATTAACTAATCAACAACTAATATTGTTTGATTACTGAGTAATAAATAATACCATATATATCTAGCCCTTTGATTCTAATTAAATTCTATCAATCAATTTGGAATCTGATCATTACTCTAAGCAATTCAACATCACACCCGCTATATTTTGATATTACATGGTTGAAGGTAGTTTTTAGGAAACTCAGGTCCTTGGTTTTGTGCTGGCTGTCATTCATCAGCAAACAGGATTTGCACATATGCTTGAAGCATGTTTAAATTCCACAGAGTAGACCCGTTCCCCCAAGATTGCAGACACGACTTACTGGCGAATGTCAACGAACACGAATTTTAAGTTCTGAATTTTCTCCTGATTACCCATGACCACTTAACATTAATGTAATCAGCTAAATGAACTGTATCAATCACGTTTACAATGCTCCCACAAACCTCAGTGAAATGACACTTTATTATACTGTAGATAAAATTAAATCGTTGAAAGCATAGCGTAAGAAGTGATGAACTTTGGTACACTAAGTAATTATCTCAGTGACAGATTATTTGTGGTCTAGGATTACATCTGTTCTAATTCCTATGGGAGCACTACATTTTAGTGCAAGTAATCTTGAAGAAGTGAGCACTAATTTTTATTGTGGTTACAGATACACTTTACAGTCGAATAAAACATGTCTTCTTAGAAGTAATGGAAGGGGTTAGTAAATGTCTGACCTAAAAATAGTACACCTCATCTTGTTCCACGGCTACCCATTCCTCGCGCTAAGGCTTTCACACACACATCACTAAATGCTTAAAAAACGATTATTTTTGATCGGTCTGCAATAATTGTCCCTTAGACTTTCTTATCACGCTCACATGTTTCCAAGACCACTAATAAATTTTCTTTCCAATAAAATAGGCAATCATGTATCGACAACTGTCCTCATACTTCAAACAGAATTACAGGGAAACCTAGCTACAGATCACTTTCAACAAGGTTTTTTAGGGTAAAAGAAAAGAAAATATTTTTGTGTAAATCACCCCAAGAGTTTTAAAGTCTATAAATAATGGTAAAATAATTTTTTTTGAGAAAATGAACATCCTGAGGGTGAGTGAAATTTTTAATACCAAGTTTTGGCCACAGCTTTATCATTCATTGATAATTGAAATAAAATTGATTAGAAAAACATCTGGTCCGTTTATGTTAGTTGAAATAATCTGGACACTTAAAAACAAAATGAAATTAGGCCAGCAAAGTTTGGTGAATCTTTGACAATTTCCCTACCTCTATAAAAATTAGATCATCCTCTTAAAATACTTGGATCTAATTTTTTTTTCTCAAAATCTTTTTTCCACTTAATAGGTTTTAGTCTCTTTCGACCTCTCGTTGATAATTCACTTACTTGCTAAAATGGAAAGAAAATGTCGATCAACCAAAGAAAATGAGAATAAGCATTTCTTTCTCTAAGATTATTCTCTGTTATTTTGGGTATAAAAGAGGGTTGTAATCGATACTTCAATATAGAAAGATTAGGGTCATTGATAAATTAGACTTGGATGGTATGTAGAAACAAAATTGACAGACAGCAATTTAGGTTATTTCATTGGTTATTCAGTTAAAATATCTACCCATGTATCTTAATCAACCATATAAATAAATTCATGTCAATCATTTTTATGAGATGGATTATCATTATTATATACATGAATTATTTCAGGATTATAGAAAAGAGATGATGGGTAACTGAGGATATATATATAAGTACAATTTATTCATGAATAAAGTTTTATAAATGGATAGCTGTTGTGTATATGTTTGTGCAACTTAATCTTTTAAGTATGCCCTGCATGATATAAGGGGAAGTAACTCATTTTGTGTTTTTAAAAGTTAGAAACTAAGCATTAGAAAAAATCTTTTTAGACCTATTCTCCTATACTAGTGAATATCAGTTGATCAGAGACAGTTAAGATTCAACCTGAAAATAAGCTAGATATCGACACAGTCAGCATTCCCTAGGAAGTATGTAATGCAATCTGGTTGGTAGGCTCCAACCAAAATATAATGACTATACAAATCCCACATTGAATACTACTCAGTGATCAATCAGTATGAGCAGCACAGTCCTATGAGAGGTCATCACATAATCCACTAGCCACGGCTTTTCGATGAAGGAATACAACTCTATGACCTAGAGGTTAACCACTCTCTGTAAGACATGAATATCATTTGTTCGAACATCGATGAGATGGTGGATAAGTACTTCTAAAGATTCTCATTTAAGGACGAAAGAACTGTCCAGCACTTTCTGGTATTTAATGGTTGTTTAACTAAAATTTGTTCGCGATACGAACTATAAACTTCATAATTGAATAAACCACCATACAGAAGTATATGTTACTTATTCACTTACGCCTGTTACCCCTCATGGAGGAGCATAGACCGCACACCAGCATTCTCCATCCAACCCTGTCCTAGGCAATCCTTTCCAGCTATTTCCCGTTAACATTCACTCTTTTCATATCTGCTTCCTATTCTCGACACCGTGTGTTCTTTGGCCTTCCTCTTTTCCGCTTCCCTTCCGTTTTCCAAGTTAGGGCTTGCCTCGTGATGCAGTTTGGTGATTTCCTAAATGTATGTCCTATCCACTTCCAACGTCTTTCTCAAATTTCCTCTTCAAATAGAAGCTGGTTTGTCCTCTCTCACAGAAGGCTGTTGTTGATGGTATCCGGCCAATAAATGTTGAATATTTTGCGAAGTCAACTGTTGATAAATACTGGTACCTTCTTTACGATAGATGTAGTAGTTCTCCATGTTTCAGCTTCGTACAGTAGAACTGAGTGTCTTGACGTTAGTACTGAAGATTCTGACTTTGATATTGGCTGACAGTTGTTCTGAGTTCTATATGATCTTCAATTGTAGGAATGCGGTTCTTGCTTTGCCAATCCCCACCTTTACATCCGCATCTGATCCTCCTTGTTTATCAATGATGCTTTGCAGGTACGCGAATGCTTCCACCTCTTCCAGAGTTTCGCCACCAAGTGTGACTGAGTTGGTTGGCGTTCTCTGTTTTGTATTTAAGAATCTTGCTATTTCCTTTGTGTATGTTGAAGTCTATTGATGCAGAGGCTACTGCTATATTAGTTTTCTTCGTCTGTACTTGTTCGTGTGTATAGGATAGGAGGGCTAGGTGATCTGCGAAGTCCGAATCGTCTGATTCTGAAATGTCCATTGTATTCCGTGCTTCTCCTCAGATGTCAAGGGTAATTTCGATCATAGCATTTACATGAAAAAATGAAACTGGTTATTGACCGAAAAAACCAAAACATCGAAATCCACTGAATTCAAAATTCATCACATCTGCATATTTACTAGAGTTGTCTGGCGATAATTTCTGCAGCAAATGACGTGCGTTGCATCCAGCACCTTCCATTAATTTATTTGGTAGATGACATGTAACGAAATATTGTAATCATGAACCGATCAATCTTAGACTATCGTTTAATATCTAGAAGCACTGGACGGCCATCTCGTCCTAGTATAAAACTCCTCGGTGATGGTCTATGTTGAGTCGGCTTCCGGAGAACTCTAACAGAGCCTC